CTTACTTTGTGGAAACAAACAACAGAGCGTAGGGGTCGTAATTTTGGGTTCTTCGATTATTTTTTGTCCGTCGTCCCGCGAACAAATTCGCATTCGCGCGATATAAATTTCGCCTAGTGGAAAAACGGCCCTTAAAGCCTGATTATTAGCACGAGACGAAATTTCAAATCCGTGGCGAAGACCGAACATTCTGGATTGGGTATCGCCGCGAATGGGACGGCGAGAAAATAATGCAGCAGGAGGAGTGGGAAGATTTAGATAGAAATTCGCAAGAGCCGATTCGACACGAATAATTCGCCTGTTCGAATATAAGGGTTATTTATAACACTATTCTACTTTTTCGCTGCGAATTATTATTTCGCCCAGGGTAATATATACCTATATCAGTAGGATCAACGCATCGCAAATTAAAAGACACATCTGACATCCGACACCAAACACTGGGAGGAGAAGAGCTAGGTGCGGAATAGGTGCTAACGCAATTTGTAGGAACTTCGAGTCTATAGGATCCAAATAAGGGATATTGCAACAAAAAACGACAGAAACAATGTAACGATAATGGGATTCAAACAACAATCTCCAGGGGACATGGAGGAGAAAAGAAAGTAGAGTTACACTCTTATGACTAGGGCTAAACAACAAAGACTGGCCGTAGAAATCCGTCCACTATTTATTGAAAAGACGGGAGGGAAAAACAAGTGGAAGATGGAAGACGATTTTACTATGCAAACACGGAAGCGCATCGATTTATTGTGGAGAATGAATGATAACGATAGAGAAGACGCTCTCGGGTCATTTAATGGGGTACTGTTGGGCGACATTCAGAGAAAAGTAATAATAATTTTCATCCTTTTTGACAATGTAAGCGTACAGTCACTTACAGATGAAACTCCCCGTTCTGCAGACGTGGTATCTGAATAATTGCATTTTGGTAGGCACAAATACTGTGGGCTTTCTTGCTTTTGTAATTTTAGATTTTTTAAGCGAATGGCGAGGTGGCTGTATTCGTCCTAACTGAGGAGGAGTAGTGTCCAATATATGGTTTTCTTTAGAGGTTTATTTAGATTGGTACGTTATGTAGTTTTCCAATTTCCATCCAATCTTCTCGGGTGGAGCGTTCCTTACGTAGCCATCGATTGTCATCACTGTGAAAGATGCAAAAATTCCGAATATAATCAATGGGAGGGAATTTTTTCTTGGACATGGGGACCTACAGGAAACCGGAGCAGGAAGTCGCAACCTCCATTTGGAAAGGATGAGACCGGCGACACTGTGGGCCTCGGTTTATTTTGGTACGATAGTGTGAAAATACGTGGGTTTAACTCCGCGCGAAGATACAGGGCATTTGTTTGAGTGTGTGCTCTCTCGATTATTATTTGGCTTTACTCAAACGTCGGAAAGGGCAGCTGTCTACTGCGATCCAGGGTAGTTTTTTCAGATGACGGAGCCATGGGTCAAAAATCGTGAGGAACAAAAGTTGGTGGGTTCAAAGGCGCTGACGATTTTGCAATTGTGTATCAGGCTCAAAAGGAATTTGTGTGCCTACATCTAATCGCATCTTTTGATTGTTAGCACTGAGCAAGTGCCCAAGTAAACATACTAATTCTAGGAACTAGCCAGGCTTTTCCTCCCAAGAAATATAATCTTTGAGTCTAGTTACTATTAATGTATTCTGAAAGTTCCGAGTCGAGTGGACTTGGTACAAATTCATCAGTTCCCCTATGTGTTAAAGCGTTTTGATGAGGCTATTTTTTCTTTGTTTTGGGCAAAACGAACTTTCCATCGATGTATGAACCCCAAAAGTGGGTTTTACGGTATCACTGGTGAGAAACAGTGGTCAAAGATTTTCAACCAAACGCATCTAAAAATGGCAGGAATCATTTCCTTCTTTTCAAACGTAAACCTGGAGGGCTGGGTGTAGGTATTTAGGTTTTTAGGAATAAATATCAACACATCAGCCCTCTGTTTTGGAATGGTAATTGGTGTGCATCACATACCGAAATATAGACACCTGGCTTTTGGTCGAGTCGAACAAAGCTCTTCATGAAAGCCAACAAAAATATTGGCCAAGGCCGGTCCCATAGGCTACCCATAGCGACACCATCCTTTTGTTGGTACATTTATTGTTTAAAGCTGAATTCAATTCTGAACGTGTTGCAGTATTCCATCATTCAATGAATACTGTCTCTGGGACATGGGGGTTCTATTATAAGCTCGCCTTCGTCGGGTACATAAAGCGTCGGCACATTATTTTTTGATGGTCTCACTCAAAAGGAAACATTTGTGAAAGACTAACTTGTCGAAGGGAACACATGAAGATGTTTAGTTTCGATGTTCAAGTTTTGCATGAACTTCTCGAACGTAAACAGAGTCTTGATACAATCAGTGTCAAAGTATCATCATTTATTTTCCCCTCAACTCTTTTTATTTAAATATTCTGTTAGATTTGATAATGTCATTCTTTTTTAGATGATATTCCTAGCTTCGATAAGTGTTTAGAGCACAGAACCCTTTCCCATTTTCCGTTTTGCCTTGCTGGTAATGTTTGAGTTTGATACCGCCTCATATGTTTTGTGATTGAAGGGTCCCTTTCCAATAGAATCTGAAAGTATCTATGCATGAGTTATATAAAGGTTCAACTATAGAATTGTAACGATAAGAAACTGTGATCTTTTTTCCGCTGTCCGAAATAATGCTTGATAGACCGCATATTCGGTATGGTAATAGCGAGGGCTTAATGAAGAAAGAATATTACAATGCCTGACAAAAGTCTAAAGACAAAGAAATCAGTTTACAAAGTCAAATTCAGCCATTCACCGCTCTCGCTCCAGCGAGTTTTGGTTTTTTGGTGCGAAAAGCTTTTCAAAGATGGCCGCTGTTAATCTCAGGTATCTACTGCTACTGAAAGCTCGATTATTGATCAAAATTTTGCTGCTAAGAAGACGTGAGAGAAGGTTGCAAAAGTACAAGAAAAGGTTTTGGATAAGGAAGATCTATGAAGAACGGGAGCGGAAGGGCGAGTATCATCTTTTGATCAAAGAACAGAGACTACACGATGCTGAATATTTTTTCAGGTGTTTTAGAATGACTCCTACACTGTTTGAAGAGCTCCTGAATTGGTTTGGCCCGTTTCTTCAGAAAAACGATACGAAAATGAGGAAAGCTATCCAACCAAGTGAAAGATTGTCTGTTTGTTTAAGATACCTGGTGACGGGTGATGCCCAAGTAACGATATCAGCAAGCTTCCGTATGAGTCCCACAGTTGTTGGGAGAATAATCAGTGAGACTTGTGAAGTTGTATGGAAAGTACTCAGCGCAAAAGGCTTCATCAAAAACCCATCAACAGAACTGGAATGGAAATCTATAGCCGAAGAATTTTCAAGATTTTGGAATTTTCCGAATTGCTTGGGAGCCCTTGATGGGAAACATGTGGTCATGCAAGCACCAGCAAAATCAGGATCTTCCTTTTTTAATTACAAAAAAACTTTTAGCATTGCCCTTTTGGCAATTTGCGATGCAAGATATAAGTTCACTCTGGTGGATATAGGAGATAGTGGTCGCCAGAGTGATGGAAGTGTGTATAATTGTAGTATTTTAGGTTATGCTATTGAAAATAATCTATTGCAAATCCCTGGACCTGCAAAGCTGCCCAACTCAGAAAAACGACTTCCATTTGTATTTGTTGCAGACGATGCATTTGGACTCAAAACACATATGATGAAGCCCTTCCCATCACATAATTTGTCATTTGATCAACGTGTCTTTAATTATCGGTTATCAAGGGCAAGGAGGGTGATTGAAAACACTTTCGGGATTGCTGCCAGTAGATTTCGAGTATTGAGAAGACCAATCATTGCCAATGTTAGCAAAGTAATACTTATCACAAAAGCTATTGTTGCACTGCACAATCTACTGATGTTTAAAAATTCATCAACAAACAATTAATATTGCCCAAGAAACTTTGTTGACCATGATGGACCATCAGGGTTTGAGGCTGGTGAATGGAGACAAAACAGAGCTGATTTTGGTAGCCTTCGACCAATTTCTCAAAGTGGTTCAAATAACTACTCTAAAGATGCAGCTTCTGTAAGACATGGATATAAAAACTACTTTACCAACGAGGGCGCAGTTGAATGGCAAAATGAATTGGTTAGTCGAACTGCAAATCCACATGAGTGGTTTCAGGACAGACAATAAAAGAATGAAGCAAGTAAGAACAGAATTACAAATGTGTATAGACATCAAAATAAAAATGTTACATATCCATAATAAGTTAACCTTACATAATATTATTCATGTTCAAACTCAAGTTCAAACAACAGTTGGCTGACTTTGATCATAGCTAATCGTTTCTTTTTAACTGAAAAAGATGATATTATTGGAATGATGCTTTTGCAATACAGAGAAACTTCATCCTCATTATCAGTAGTGACAACTGACTTGATTGCATTATTTGTGGATTCCAATTCTTTCAGGATTGCATTATCAAATCTTTCTTGACGATTCTTATACCCTTGACTACCACAAGAGGATGGTGTGTCACTTGCCTTCCTTTTTGTACCACTCAGAACAACTGGCCTTACTGATATCTGAGGGGCTAATGGGCCGTCCAAAACATCTTCAGACTGCAAAGCTGTTTCAGCTTGAATAATGTTGCTTTCTGTGGGCCTGTTTGCTGTTTTTTCATGCAGAAATCTCATTTGTTCAAAGTACTTGCATTTAGTCAATGAACTTGCAGCAGCACCAGACCTAGTCATCCGGTTCCTCTTGTCCAAACATTTTTTCAGGTTGTCCTTTAGATTTTTTAGATGCCTCTGAAGAAATTCCACTACAAAAAAAGAAATCAAATAATATTATTTACAAGATTCTAAAAGATATCATCAAACTAAGAATTTTGTCCAGCACAGAAAGTCTCTTAGAATCATTAGATTATTATTATGAGAGTTATCAGTTTGGGGGACAAAAAGAAAACCACAAGCTGTGAAAACCTCTCTCGTGTAAATTATTTTCTCGAACTGTATAAATCATCATGTCTGGGCGCAAATTTGTTTAATTAGCAAGGAACATAGGTAAACTTGATATCTCCTTTTAAAATAGCTTTTTGTGAGTATTTGTCATATCTGCAACGCTATTGGAACGATGGGCGACACCACTCCACTCACTTCTGTAGCTTACTATTGTAATATTTGTGTCTCTATGTTAAGTGTAGGTCTTAGGGTTGGTATGCATTTCCTTGCTCCCTAGGCTTGTGTATTGTAATTGATTGTCGTTGTAAATTTTATGAGAATATAAAAAAAAGGTGTGAACTCACCGTCCTTGTTGAATAACTGGCCTATTTTTGACCATGCGTTTTGCTTCATGGGCCTAATTTTGTATCCTTCGGAAGCAATATCCCACAAACATCTGTACTTGCGGACTTCTTCCAAAAATACTTCTTTGTCGAATTCAGCTGCAAGTAGTTCTTCGCCATTGTACTGGTCTAGGCCTTGTAGGTTGTTCTCGGGGGTGGTGGTGACAACAGAGACGATCGTCTCTGTCTCCTCAAAACCTGTCTCATCAACGGAGCCTGGCGTGGCAGCATTGTCTTCGTGGTTGTAGAGTTCCTGTTGACTGTTGGTATTTGCTAAACTGGCAAGGTCAGCCACAGTTATGTCTCCATTTGCCATCATTTGTTGTAAGAGATTCAGTGTCATTGCAGCCATGTTTTCTTTCTGCTGCTGTTGTTTTGGCGCGACTTTTGGTCATGGATGTCACATGACAGGCTTCCAGCAAATTAATTGGCTTGCGCCTTTCTTCGCCGCGAAAAAGTTGAATCCATTCGAACTCACTTTTTCGCTGCTGCGAACAGTCACCGCGAATGAGCTTCTGTGCGAGAATTTAAATACGCATGCGTATGCTCGAAAAAAGTCGCTTCGCGCGAATAAATTCGCCTAGTGGAAAACGGCCTTTAAGGACACTCTAATAGGCAAGCGGCACTGATTGGTCAACCTTTACAGTCATGTGCTCGTGTTTCTGATTGGCCTATTTCGATCCACAACTGGGTATATATATTTCTTAGCGTAGAGTTTTCTTGATCTATGTTCTGACGTTTTAAACTCTGAAGAGTGTCAGACGAAAAGCTTTAGTTTACTAAATGTTTGCTTTTTTCAAAGCCATTTACAAGTTTTGTACCACCAAAAGATGATATTTCTGTACGAAAGCCCATAGGGCTCGAGCCATTACCAAAGCGTTTTGGCTGAAAGAAATATGGTAAGCAGAGAGCTTATAAAAGATTGCATTTGTACCCTGTAACAAGACAAGTACTGCATTTTTTTTGGAAATGTGATAAACCCATTCCCAGATCAGGTACCCTCTTCTTCCTCTACCCAACCCATTTGGCACGCCCTTCCCATAGCCACACCCAACCCCGCCAACTCCTACTTTATGCTGTTATACACAGGTGATACTTTTAACCCTTCCCATTTCTCCCAGCCCTTTATTCCCAAAGCCACGCCGTACCATGTTTATCCTCTTCACCCACTCAATTTAAATGCCTCCATACACGTTATACAGTCCTACTTTAGTAAGCACTCTGTGTCGATTGCTACTTTTTGTTGATCTTTATAATATATATATTTTTTATTTGTATTTCCTGACCTTTGCAACCGTGATCCTGGACGCAGGATTGCGAGGGGCGCCTACGAGAAATGGACATACCGAATTAAAGCCCTGAAATGTCCCCATGGGTTTGTGGCTGATGAGTTGCTTTTTTATCATTTTCTGCCCACTTACAAGCTAGTTGCTTAAAACATACAAGGGCATACACAACCACCCCCCATCGGAG